TGAAAAATAAAAATTCGCTGAAACCTTATAATATGATTTTTAGAATAAGGTCACCTAAGGGTATCTTTGGGCAAAATATGAGCGATTTGCCAAATCGGTCGTTGACCGGCGTTTCTCGATCCTAACAGTCAGCCATTCTTAACACGTGAAGATCTATGCGGTTAGTCAAAACCTTTAGCATGGTGTAAGAATACCTACACTGTTTACTGAAATAATGTGTTCGTCTGATCGTTACTGTGCCGCCAAAAAACTGGTCTTATTGACCGAAACGACTGAGGGTAGACAAACAAGCAGGGTGGGTTCTAAAGTGGGTGGAGCTTGTCTCCGGCTCGGACGGCAAGACACTTTACTCTCACAGTGCCTCTCTCCACCCAGGTGTATAGATGGGTACCGGCGAATTTAATGCTCGGGGTAACAGTTGCGATGGACTAGTATCCCATCCAGGGGGGAGTAGAAATACTCCTAGTCGCTTAATGCTACAGAAACCGGGATAAGCTCCGGCCTGATGGGTCACTTTGCTCGTATGCAGACTTTACCTTTTACCTTATGTAACACAGGTTGTGAAGAAGAACAGGAGAAACTGATGCAGGACTGGTTCGTACTGGTGAACAAGAAAAACGAGCTGGTCAGAAGACAGGGTGAACTGAATTTACTGTAAGTTTACTTTTGATTTAAATGCTTCAGTATCCAACCAGGGACAGTNCGTTGACCGGCGTTTCTCGATCCTAACAGTCAGTCATTCTTAAATACGTACTATTTTCCCCTTCAATACTTCCAAACTGACTCAGAATTTGTCAAAACCGATAAATATTCTAAGTTAAAAACAATATTAAAAGCAGCAGGGCAATCCAAAATTTGAAAACCAGAGACCGTCAAAATATGGTTGTCATGGGAATATAAAGCTCCTTGAACAAACGTAGTAGGAAATAGTTATACCAATTAATTTCCAGATAAATTTTAGAGAGAGTGTCGTAAACCCAAGACCAAAGTAATCACTCTGACCGATTGCAAAAGACACACATAATTACTAGTGATAATTATCCATGACAATGACCTTCAATTACTGTTTCCCTGTAGCAAACACGACGGTCCTCGTTAAAGAAACACATTTCCAGCTCCTTTGGTTGCTTCATGCTGCCTACATAGCCACATTTCTTGCTTCTCTGTTCGGCAAATCAGTCATCATTCACATTATACGAACAGACAACTCCATGAAGACCACTTCCAACTATCTGATTTTGAACCAGGCATGTGCAGATCTTGTGATCACCTTAGCAGAGGGAATGAATGTCATTCATTACAGTTTGATAAACAATTTATGGTTAGGAGGGCTCCTTGGTTTGATCACTTGTAAGGTATTCCTTGCAGTTATATTCAGCTCCCACATGTTTTCACTTTGGGTCCTTGCGAGGATTTGGGTCCTTGCGACGATTGCCGTTGAACGTTTCTACGCAGTAACGCGACCTCTCAGATTTTCACCCGTGTCTCAACATTTAAAGACAATAACTTTTCTTCTTTGGGCTTCTTGTCTTGCTACCCCTTCAAACTTCCTTCAGAATGCAAGCTTCAAAAAATTAAATGAGTCTTATTATTGTGACTTAGCAGATGCTCTGAAAGAGTTGACAACATTTAATATCATCACTGGCGGTTTGCTGGCATTCCTGCCGTTTTTGAGTTATTTTTTTGTAAAAAAAATACCTCTTAGTCGGCGCGTCGGGGTATGTTATGGACGGGTCAATGGATGAGTGAG